GTGCGTTGGCAGTATTTTCAAGACTGTTAAAATGATATAATCACACTCTAAATATATATATATTTTCCTTCACTGTTTATGAAGCAATCCTAGAATTATTAGCTGTATATTGCAGCTACATTTGGATGCTGATTAGAGTTATGCCAACTTTTTAGTTAGGATTCATTATTTCTTCAGACTGCTTGGAGCTGAAAGTCCTATCTTTTGTCAGTGATGGGGACTTCTTCATCAAGAGGCTCCAATCATTTTGGACTAGTAAGTGCCTAGTATGAACATGGGAATACCATGTGGAAGTGACTATCAAGTCATTGTTATTTCTTATCTCATATATAATATAGTACATCCGTTTCAGATCCATGAGTGATTGGAGAAGAGAAAGTCACTATGAGAATTAGTCTTAAAACTCAGATAGTGCTGTAAATTTACAGAACACCTCATGAACCAAAGCATGTTTTCCTGCAAACAGCTTATAAATCCACAGTTTCACCTTCACACAATCAGATCTGAACTCAAGTAAACTCAAGGTATGGAAAACAACTTTAAGAAGGCAAGATTATTTTGCAACAAGCTGCTGCACATTGGCCTTGTCTCATGAGGAGCAAGAAAAGCTGTGAAAAACAGGCAGAACATCCACCTTGTCCCATAGTCTATGTACCACAGCTCCCTCTGTGTTATGTTCTCTTAAGCCTGTTCATCAAGTGGGATGCTGGGGCTTGGTGATCATGAGCATCAGTACCTTAACTGTCTTTGAACAACATACTGAAGTGGGGAATCACTATTCCTGGAAAAGTGGCATGCTCACCTGAGACAAAATGCTAAAATTTTGCATCACTCTTTTCATATACCATGAAAAGAGCTGCAGCCTGGCCAGCCTGCATTACTCTCCCCAGTGAAAAGGTAAGCTTTTTATCAGGTTGAAATACAGGGGGACTGACTCTTACATAGAAGTCCAATTCCTGGAACTGATTTAAGTACTCTTGTATATCTACTCTGCCATGGAAGAACTCCTCCACCATCATGCATCTCAAGTCATATGCTCTCAGCACACTCATAGCAGTTTACCTCAGGCTGCCCATGGCCCCATCCAACCAGCTGAGCACCTCCTGGTATGGGGCATTGACAACTTCTCTTGACAAGCTGTTCCAGCACCTCATCACTCTCTTAGTAAAGATTTATTGCTCATATCTAATCTAAATCTACCCTCTTTTAGCTTAAAACTATTACTCCTTGTCCTATCACAACACTGCATGATAAAGACTCCCTCCCCATCTTTCCTCTAGGCTCCAGTGAGGTGTTCCTGGAACCTCCTCTTCTATAGGCTGAACAAGCCCAGCTCCCTCAGCCTTTCCTCATTGCAGAGGTGCTCCAGCCCACTGACTACCTTTGTGCCCTCCTCTGAACTCTCTCCAACAGCTCTGCATCTTTCTTGAGCTGGAGGCCAAAAGCCTAAATGTGGTCATTTCATATTATGTAACTTCCTTCTTAGGAGCTAAAAGTGTTTAACAGAAGCATTTATCTGTGACCAAGAATCATCATTTCATTTCCATTTAAGATCCCAGATCACTGACAAATCACCAAGAAGACACTGGTCAAAATAGGTGTGTAAAGTAAGAATTAAAGGATAAAGGAGTCTATGGGCATTAAGTATCCAACTTCCTTTGCAGTTCTCAAAGTCTCAGCAATAGCAATTATCTAAAATAGTACGTTTAAACCATCCCAACAAAAAGATCCTGTACCACATGAATATGCATTTCCATTAAAACCTTTTCTATTATGGAACCAAATGCTGAGCATTCACAATTCTGAGTTCATTACAGAGCAATCACACATGTACCCTTTCCAGGTAAGAATGGCAGTGTTCTTTCTAACAATACTTCTTCAAGTTCTGAGCTACCAGTGTAGCTTAAAAATAACAGTCCATGTTGCTAAGAACATCAGAAAGTTTCATCAACCAAAAATACTTAAAGCCTCACGGGAAAAACTCAGGTGTAACAAGTAGGCCAAGCCGAGTGACCTGAATTGAATTCTGCCTTTTGAAAAAGGATTTCTTATCAGTTCATGGATATTCAATTAATACCCAGGAAAATACTTCATAATACTTATGACTTTCTCAAATGTGATTATGAGCAGTGCGAATTAAAACATCTACATCCTAGATGTGAAGCAAACAAACCTATAGTTTAGTGGCCACCCTTGTTGTTTTGTGATCCAACAAATATTTTATTGTATTTAGGATTTCATATAGCCAGTTATTTTTATACCAAAATACTGTATCACTTAATCTGCTACTGATACATTGCCACAGTGAAGAGAAAAATGTTAAAAGCCATAGAAATACAAACGTACAGCAAACAGCAGCCATTAAGGTATAATGTTTATGATTAATACATAGGCTGTTAAATGATTAGTAATAAGATTAGCTTGCATCTTTCCTGCCCAATAGATACTTAAAGTAATTGCATTTTGCAAACTGCATTATCATCACTTCACATTCCTCATGATGTCATGGGGTAGCAAGGCAGACTCAGCAGTTTCTCCAGAGCTGCTTTAATTCTTTTCTCTGACCATCAATACTAAATACTCTGACACAGAGGCTGTGAGCACTCCTTGCAAAGCCTCTCTCTAGCTGCATTAACACTGCAAACCACTTGTATTACTTCTCTTTAACAACTGTCAGATTAGAGATGGCAGAATAACACGTAAATATGAATGTCTTGAAGCAAATAATCAACTTTGTGATTGCCTAGGAAAAAAAAAAAAATGCACATACTTTGAAAAAGAAACAGGAAACTTTTAGCTAAGGAAGTGGCATTTTCAAAAGGTAAACTCTTCCTTCTGTGCCCTCTTGATGCTGAGGGCAAAATGGCTGCAATTTTTGCAATTGTTGCTCAGGCTGCTGCAAACTTACCATAATTAATGGGAATCTTTCCAGAAGCTTCAACCAGCACTCAGGTTAAGGACAGGAACTTTTTTTTTTTTTAATATGAGTGATGAGGATTATTTTTTTTAACATATTTGGAAAACTGAGATATTTCCATTTCCTACATATTATGAAGATTGAAGCATAAGTTAACATTTTTCTCAGAAACAGGTCTGCTTAGATTGAAGGTTTGTAACTTTAAATGTAAGCCTGCTTAAGTCCAAAAGACAAGCAAGACTGGAGAGAGATGGGCAGCACACACTGTCCAGTAATTCAGCAGTACTATTTCTTTCTTGAAAAGTGCATATTAATCATTGTACATCCATGTGCATGTGGTAGGAGAGGGTGGGGTTCATGTGAGAAACAATGAGTTCTCCCTGCATATTGCAGAACACATTGAATATCTTCAACTGTTTCTGCCTAGTATGGGTCCTCTTTACCTAATGAATACAAATTTAGCTAATATATCTAATATGATACAAATGGTTCCTTCTGTAAGTGGCTTTAAATCCTCTCCTGTATTAAATTAACCAAGCATTAGCTGGAATAATAGAGTGGCATGAGACTGATTGCATGCTTTGACTACTGCAGTCTGTATTCTGTCCAAAACCTGAAGTCTAATACACATCTAGAACAGGCAGTACGTATATTATATGCACTCTTTTATAAGCTGGACTTCTATTCAGTTTGTTGTGCATGTCACTTAAGTGCACAAGATCCAGGTAGAAGACAAAGGGATGGGCTTTCCTCAGCCTGGCGTAGACTCTTACACCAAGAATGCTAATGCAAAATGCGATCTCATGGATGAGCAATCTTCACTGTTCCTTACAATAACAAAGCGTAGTATAGTATTAACATAAATTGTTAAACTAAGAGCTCTTCTGTATTGTAAATGACTACAAATTTTACATTATAACAAAGGTGGATGAAATACTTCTGGGTAAATGCTAGGCTGGCAAGCTTTTCCTAAATGTTTGCAGCGCTTCTACTTAGCTATTTTTTCCTGAAAGACAGTTTCACATACACACACAGTACATCTGTTGTGCACATGAGCTTGCTTCAAACAAGACATCACTGGAATGGTCAGTGACTATACTCCATGAACAGCTACAAAGAAAACTGTCTGGAATCAGAAACCTAATGTTGGATACCAAAAGCCCTGCAACAAACTTTCCTTGACAAGTTGCCAGTGCAGTCCCTGTGACAGCTCATAGAAATAATTTGCACTGTTCTGCAGTAGGTTTATGAAGACACGTTTTTACCTGTACATACAGAGATTTGCACACTACTCATTAACAAGTGTAATCAGGTGTCTAAATCTTTGCTTCAAGATAGATTTAGGGATTTGGTTATGCACCCATCATGCCTCCAGGAGCCCAATAGCTTTAGCTTGGAGGATCTGACACAAATCCAGTTAAAAACAGCCTCTTCATTACACTTTGCAGCTTCTCTGCAAATGAACCTTTGTGCTGGAAACATACAATGTGATCCCACAGCTTTTAACTAAGCCTAACCTCACTCTTTGGATACATGTTTCTGAAGTATTGTCTTCTCTCTTGAGAGAGCTTTGGATGCACCCACACATCACAAAACTACTTGTGTCGTGTTCTTAATAGTTTGCTTCTTCCTCCCACATGTGTTACAAAGAGAAGAAACATTCCCGCGTGGCCAGAAGCAAGGCATTGCTGTTTGTCAGAGACACTGCAACGTGTCCGTGCTCCCTTGTCCAGCAGACAGAACAGAGCTGAGTTACGCAGGCACTCAATCAGCTCAAAAACTCTGCACAACACCGCGGTGGCAGGAACTGCCTTACGGCTACCGCAGAAGTTTGGCAGCGGAACTTTCCCTCTCCCAAGACCCGCAATCAGAGCTGTGCACAGCCTCCACCGGACGGCGGGTGCTCGCCAACTCCGACGCAGTGGTGAGAGCGCCCGCAGATGCACTTAGACGTACGCCGAGTCGCTCCGGAGCGCCGGCACAGCGGTGCTGGCCCGCGGGATTACTTCTCGAATACTTAGCCCCCAGCTCTCCCCTCCGTCGGTTCCCACTCCCGCCTGCTCCCCCTGTTCCCGCTACTTACCGCTGAGGACGCGCCCGCCGAGCGCTCCGCTCCCGCACAGCGCGGCGGCCGCCAGCACCGCGGCCAGTCCCAGCCCCAGCCCCATGGCGAAGGCTCCGCGCCCAGCAGCCCCGCTCAGGGCAGGACAAGCCCTGTACACATGCCGGGGAAAAGCAGCCCCGTCCGCTCCTCGCTTCGCAACGCTGCCCGCCGCCGCCTCCCCGTCGCTATATACCTTTAGAGGCGGGGGCCGGGCCGGGCGGAAGGCCAGCACCGCCCCCCGCCGCCCCCTGCCGCCCCCCGGCCCCGAGAGCCGCACGGTGCCAGCGGCTCCAGTCGTGCGCGGATGCTGCGACGTCGGGGCGCTCGGGGCGGATGACCGTTCTGAGAGCGAGAACCTGACCCGAGCGCTTTCTGCAGCGTTTTGGGGCTTTGTAGGTCTTCTGATCTATGTTTCCCCTGACGAGAGTAGAAATAGGCTGTTTCCAACTTAAATATGTACATCTACATATATATACAGGTGCATAAGCTGCAAAGTTCCCTTTTCTCTCTGCCCTAGAAAATACCGGCATCAAATTCACATTACCATCACTCTTAAAACATGCCACGGTAACTCTTCTGGACCCGTTCATAGGACTGCTTCAAAGACCTCCAGAGCCATGTTGTCAAGGGCTTCTTCTCTAAATATCTATCTGTAGATTTCTAAAGACAGATACTCTTTCCAGGCACCAATCTTTTACTTGAGTTCCAGTGAATGCCTTAGATAGATTACCATCAAGTTTAATGGACATCTTGCATGCAGATTATTTGATGGTTTGCCAGTCAACTTCATCTTTCTCAGAACTCAGCTAGAGACCATGTATATATACGTGTCATATTTGTAACTTATTTTCCCTCTGGATGTTTATAGCCAGGTTGTGAAGTCAATACATCTCAGATTACTATGGATTTTAAAATACTTGATGGATTTCCTAGTTGCTTTAAAACTACCTGAGATCAGTTTCCTACTGAAAAACCCACATGAAGTGTATAAACTGTAATGGAAAATTATTTCCAGTTCTGTTGTTTTTTGCCACAAACTTTATCTATTTCTTAATAACAGAGTTATTTATTTGTTTGAGTGATGAGACTTGGTCTTCCATGTGGATTTTAGGGTTCCAAGGCAATACCTATTATTTTCTAAATCCATAAGTACAATGAGCAATAATCTCAAAATAGTAATATTGAACAAAATATTCCAGAATAAAGTTACTTAAGATGAGAAATAGTGGAGCCAGCAGGGAGGTGATTAGAACCCTGTTCTCATCTCTGGTGAGGCCGTACCTCCAGTACTGTGTTCAGTTTTGGGCTCTTCATTATGAGAAAGACATCAAGGCCCTGGAGCGTGTCCACAGAAGGGCAATGAAACTGTGAGAGGTACGGAGTACAAATCTTATGAGGAGTGTCTGAGGGAGCTGGGATTGTTTAGTCTGGAGAGGGGGCTCAGGGGGGACCTGGTAGCACTCTACAATAACTTGAAAGAAGGTTGTGGTGAGGTGGGAGTGGGCCTCTTCTCCCAAGCAACAGCCGTGAGACAACAGATAATTGCCTCAATTCACACCAGTGGAGGTTCAGGTTAACAAATTTCTTGTTAACATTTCTTCTCAGAAAGAATGGTGAGGCATTGGCATGGGCTGCCCAGGGAAGGAAAGTGATGGAGTCACTGTCCCTGGAGATTTTCAAAAAACATATAGATGTAGCACTGAGGAATGTGGTTAGTGGGCACAGTGAGGATGCATTGGTGGTTGGACTAGGTAATCTTGGAGGTCTTTTCTAACCTTAATGATTTTATGATCTCCCTGGTATCTGAGATTCAAGCATTTCCTCACATAAGGTTGATGGTATGCAGAAAGAGAAGAGCATGGCCAAAAAACTGTAACAAGTACAGTGAGTACTTGGAGGTAAGGCTGGGGAGGGAAAGTGTGTCACAGCCTTTTAGTCTCACATGTTTGTAACCTACTCCAGTCTTACATAGGAAGGAGTTCAAATTTCACTGTATTTGAATCCCAAGTGATATCCAGCCAAAAGAAGTGGGAAAATAAGAAAAATGTTAAAAGTCTTCCAAAGTGCCAAGACCCTCTACTGTCTCAGGAATGACACCCATATTGGTGGGAATCTTATATTGAATACCTTCCATATGCAGCAGAAATATCTTCCTCCTTTTCCTTAGGCCTTTTCAAAAATTTGTTTAATGATCAGTTCTTAAAACAAGGCTGAAATGAAATATATTTGCACAGCTAAAGAAACTCTCCAGGCACACACACCACTATCTCTTTTCCATTGAAATTAAGAGATGCATAAAACAAATTCTCCCTTTAGTAAATTACACAGCATTTTTTTCGGCTTGCTTTATGTGGGTTTACTAGCCAAGATGTAGTGACAGTTCCTGGCATTCTTCTGATCCTTGCTGCACTTTTCATCATATGGATATCCTGGGAAAAAAGAAAATAATAATAAAATAAAAATAAAAATAAATTAAAAAATAAGAACATGGACAGTTGTGTTGTGAAATTGCAATTTTGTAGTTTTTCAGTCTCTTCATCTTAGCTGCAGCCACTTGCTCCTTTTTCTCCTACAGAAAGAGAGCGCTGAGCACTGCACTGCTATAAGACGTAGAGGCAGTTTCCTTACCAGTACCCATCCACACCATCTGAGGAGGTACCTACTGATCTGTCTTCCTATCTCTTTTGTAATTGAAGTATACTTCTTTTTTCAGGATAAGTCAAATTTCACTTAAAAATAATTGATTCCCAGACCTGGCAACTGTATATGTTGCAGTTGTTAACCTGGGCCTTTTAAATGAGGAAAAGAGGAACTAATTGGTTGCTCTCTGCTGGGACCAAGTTTATAGTCTTTATTAAACATTCATTCTGTCGATACTCTGGTTTCATCCTCAGTATGTGTCCCATCTCAGAACTGTGCACAACTTGACCAGCCTAGAATTTTAACAAATTGTGATAATTGTATTGCAACACACACACACACCAAAAAAAAAAAAAAAACAACAAAAAAAAAACCAACAATGTGTATTTCAAGGGTCTGATATCCAGGGCATATGTAATTTCAGTTTATTAAAAGTTAGGATAAAGTTTATAAAGATTATTGCAGCATCCTAAAATCTTTTCATCCATGAAACAACTCTTTGAAAGGTAGGCTGTTTTTTGTCCAGAGTCTCTATTTTGCTGCGTTGCAAGGTTTTATTTCCTAATCTAGGGAAAACTAAATAAGAAAGAGGATAGCTTAGCTGAAGATAAAGCTTTCATAATACTACTATCTTTGAATCAGAGGTAGGCATCTTTCTGAAGTAAATTTTACTCTAAGATAATTTAGACTAAAAGTACAGATAAAGAGTCTGAGACAAACTAGACTAAAGATAAATAAATGACTTATCGCAGAAGAAGAGGGGTAAGCTTGTGTGCTTTTATTCCAAAAACTGGTTACGTCACTGGGTAGTGATGGTATTCATCCTATGAATTTGTGAATAAATACGATCTGTGTGTGATGGTGCTTTTACTGCTTACTCAATACTTTAAAGAACACATTTAGTCAATCTTTTAAAAAGTATACTAATACAGTAGCACTGATCAATTTTAAAACAAACCTAGAAGGGGAAAAAAAGGAAGGCATATTGGAATAGTTATCCTTTGAGGTGGCTTGTGATTTTCTCTATTTCACCATTAACAAAAGTGGCAGTGCTCTCTATTTCATTTTCTTTCAGGTTTAAAATATGAGTTACAGCTATATACTCTGTTCATTTCTCATCAGTGATTATTTTCATTTTCTTTCTCATTTTCCCACTCATATCTAAAATTTTTCTGTCATTTGCCCATGATCCCAGATGATGCAATTTCTATAGATGCCCAGTGTACAATTGAAAGTAGGAGGAGAAAAGAGTTTTGTACAATAGTCTGCATACAGATAATTTATTAAATAACATTTCTAGAGCTCTTTCAATTTCATATCCCATTGGCTTCCAAAAACAGTTTAAGCTACTTAGCTTCTCCTGCCAATTCTCTTAGTACTGTAATAGCATTATATTTTTATGGCTTTTTTTTAGTATTATTATTCCTTAGTTATGGAGAAGTATTCAGTACAGGTCCTAAAAACATTTGAGAAGTTGTCAGATGTTCCAGAGGAGGGAAGTGATTTGAGAAATTTTAAGTTTCCTTCACCTCCCTTCAGTACCATGTAAGACACCAGCCTGCACTGAAGTTGATGTGAGTCAAAAGAAAAACAGGAGCAGAAAAGAAGAGAATTAAAAATATGTACGTCATTTTCTATTCAAGTGTCTAAAAACATTCATCTATCTTTCACAATGCAGTGCTACTTGGAAATTCCTGAATACCTGTAATCAGCATTTTGCACAGCTGGGGACAGCAAGAAGCTTGAGCTATGATACCCTGTGATTTGAGGGGCACTGTTCTCACGTTAATCTACCCAGCTCTAAAGCCAGATAATTCGGTGCTAACTCAGGTATTTCTGCATAGTGCTGCATTGCACTGTGTAAAATACCAGCATGGTTGTACATGCAATGCAGCACGACTGACAGATACACCAAGCTCTGCCAACGAGGATCAAAGTAATTTAATTTCCTTCAATTATATTCCATTTAGATATAACGTATAGCAGAAAAAAAAAAAAAAAAAAAAAACCTTTTAGATAAACAGGCTCTCTTACAGGCCATAGGATATTTTTTATGTGCTAGCATAAAACTTGCTAGCTCATAGAATTTTTAAGCATTCTTAAACTGCGATATCTTGTATCTATTAAAGTAACGCATTTTTTTTTTCCTTAAAATTTCATTAAAGCTGATTAATCAGCAAAATCTTCTTGGCTACTGTCATAATTTATTAATATTTCTTGATTTTAGATCAGAATAATCAGTAGAATGAAAATTAATTAAGCCCAATTTTCAAATCAGATGCAAAATACTAACTCTGAGCAGCAGAATAGTTGCCCATAGAGGTTGTGAATGCCCTATCCCTGGAGGCATTCAAGGCCAAGCTGGATCTGGCTCTGGGCAGCCTGGTCTAGTTGTTGGCAACCCTGCACATAGCAGGGGGGTTG